GTCATTTGCTTTCAACTTTTGAGTCATCTGGACCTTGTAGGCGAATAATCCGAGGTCTTTGTGCAGTATTCTCCTCAGACTGGTTCGACTAATGGCCAGTTGCTGCGATCGGCGTCGAGTTGAGGTCGATGGATTCTGTCTCACACTACGGGCCACAGCTTCAATATTCTCGGGCGTGCGCACTGTCCGAGCTCGGGGACCACTTCTGTTATCTAGTAGCAGGCCTGTCTCACGAACTTTCTTCACCAATTTCACTACAGCGGTTCCGCTTGGCGCTTTATTACGACCCATATTTCTTTTCAAAATTCGCACGGTTTCTGCTACACAACACTGACTTTGAAAATAAGTTTTTAATATTTCGAAACGCTCCTCAAGCNAAAACATGATTGTTTCGCGCCGCGGAATATCAGATTGACGAGCTGTCCAAATTTCAAGCAACTCGATCACTCCAGTGTTGCCGTATTCTATGATTTAAAAACAAACTAGCAGGTGGCCCACCCTGTATCAAACCGAGCAATGTCACGTTTCATGATATCGTACACGTTTTCGCATTCAATGAAATAAATGAGACTGTGTCGGTGTACATAATTTTACATTTTTCTTAGTANAGAGATGCTATGTAATCGTGATGAAATTTGTACAAACACGTCTTGAATATGTCTGATATACACATGCCCACATAAATCGGTTTGTTGAATTTCACCTCGAGTTTACGCAATTTACTTGCAATAAAATTTTCAGAAAAGACGCTTCGGCTATGAAAATTTGGTTGAGAGATCAGTGCTTCCGCCCATATCTTCCGTCCCACTTTGTTACGAGTTTTATATCCACATGACTACGCACATATTCCATAGTTTTACCAAACACTGCGTTATTTATCAATTTGTACAAATTTTTCTCAAAATCGTTGGTAGCCAGCGTTTGTAATTGTGTGTTTAACTCGATGTAACTGCGGAGCCATTAAGATTGTGCAAATTGTAATATACGATAAATTTTTGTAATACAAAAACCGTGTCGAACACATTGTTACAAGGCGCGATAATGAATAATATAACGCGATTTATTGTATAGTGTNGCAAGCAGCTTCTTCTGCCGCTTGCAAAGCGGCTTACCGCGCGTCGGGCAAAACGGTAGGTCAGCGTGTGCGTCGTGCAGTTCGCGAGGATACTCAAGGTTGAAGATGTAACCGATATCTGAGGTTGATGTCACAAACATCTCGTCGACACTCGAGATGGTGTCTACCAATTGGAATGCGGCATACGGTAGCGGCTGATACATTGCCCAGCCGTACAAGTTATTTATATCAAAGTACACGAGATACGACGTTGGTTTTGATGAGTCGTACGTCTGCATGTACTTGTTATTAGCGTGCGCGTAACTGGGTAAAGTATAATAATGCGCGAGATCTAA